CGTAATGCAAGTTGCCAAATTGACGAAAGTTGACGACAAGTGTTAAGTACACGGGAACCCTTCGTATACTTCGGAAGTTCCCAATTTTTTTTAGAGATAAAGTTTAAAAAGTTAGACAAGAAAGATTCTGCTCAGCACTACCGTCAATCACAGAATGTAGCCGACGGCATTTGATACACTACAAAACCGAGAAACCAAATATATGGAGCTTTCACTGCCACAAAAAAAACTTGAGCAAAACCTTTTACAATGTCAAGTATTCCCGATTGAAATCACTACACACCTACGGTTTGCGAAAGATGCGAGAGTACGCTTCTCCTGAGTCTGGAGCATTTTCTTGTTCAACCTCTGTCCGCCCTTTTTCAAATTTATCCAATCATGTGCGGGTGTTGGAGCAAGTGTGAACATTACACACCATAAAATGAAAGAGTGACAACTTTAAGAAGGATGCAGGCTACATCGCACGTATTATGACGTGTAAGGTATATCTGGAGTTATTTAACGACACACAGACATACGCACACTAAGCGATAAGTGTAATTACATATTTCGGCATTCAGATTGCACACAGTAAATAATAGCTTCGCCTTTTGGGATCGCAATTATTATACATTCAGGGTCTGGGGTGAAGGCCTATCAGCATAAACCCTGAAGGCTAATTATCCGCTCCCATGCTGATTACTGATACTAAAGGGCGAGCTCCAGAAGTTGCGCCATGAGCGTATCAGGATCGAATGATACACGATGTTATGAAAGTATAACATGCATCTTGACTGACCTGTATATGAGTCCAGCATTCCAAAAAAACTTTAAACTATGTGCATGTGGCTGTCCCTTTAAAGATATTAAATAGCTAGCGAGATGTGACGCGGGAACAACTCTCAATATATTACCGGTGCTTACATTTTCTGCCTATAGCAGTCTCATTGACTAAATCATATACCTATTCATTTCAGTGCTTATACTTCCATACGCAAACCTTTAAACGTCAGCAATGTGTTCAGCCAGAATTATCCCTTTCTGACTGAAGTTGTATAATTTACAAGCTTTTTGTTAAAGCTCGTTGGACTTTCTTCAAATTGTCGTCCTTGTACATTCAGCGAAAGTGAAAGTATAATGTCGGTGGAATCATTTGCGCATGGGTGCAGCTATACTTCTTACGGTTCGTGTTCTCAAATGCATCCAGCGAACTTAATTATTAGAAGCGATTCACTTCTAGCTTGTTCTTAAAAGCACTGTTTTAGTGAACGTCATAACATGCTATAAATGGTTTGATGCGGGCACCCTATTAGTAGAACGAAGCAGTATATTCACGCAGCCACACACTTTATGATCGGATCTCATCATGAAGCTTCGCATACACGACACGTGAATTATATATCGAGACTTAAAACAAGAGCAAATCAGACATCAATTGAGGATTCATTTAGCTTGCGACATATATCAAAGCTAAATGTGTGGAGCTAAAGCTTGCATCTCCACGAAAGCGAATATGTCGCTCATTCGCTTCTACCTCAAGTACATTTCTCAAAGGCGAGACGTTCAGAATCGGCAATAGAAGAATAAGATCAAGCGTTACTCCGGACCAAGTTCGTGCTATTTTCAAAGAAAATTATCTGTCGTTTAAGCCAAAACTATATGCACTACCTCTTCCAAGCGTCTGCTGTAACGGGGTAGCCCGTTACATGATATTGACACCAAACGGTGTCAATAGGGATATTGTCTAGCATGACAATATCCTATCAATATTGTCCGAGATGGATAATTTGAAGGCATTTTATCCCCTTTAGGATAGTGTTCATGCGCTGCTCCAAGATGAGTTGATAAAAGAGATGTCAACCACAGATTACCACTATTCGATGCTAGACGCGCGCGATGAGCAGGTTGTCGTCATACGACGACGTAGTTTAATATAGTTAGATAAAGATTAAAGTCATATTGATAGCTTAACTATATTAAATACAGTTCTCTTGTTACCCTTTACTTAAACGAGTTGTTTAAATCGATTAGCTTCCTCTGCACGTACTAGTGTACGTGAAGTTTCGTGGCACCCCAAGCAAAGGGTACCCCGTTACACCTTGCAGTCCGTCCAGCGACTACTTAGTGTCCGTCCAGCACGAACATGTTGGAAGTGGAAGACGACAGCTTTCACGTCATACGTGAAGGCTACTCCCATCTGAGTGACTCAGAATGGGAGGTAGTCGGCCGCATGAGTGTGCTCATCGGCGAACCCGCTATCAGTGGCATGTTGGAGTCCCTAAGCAGAGACCATCAACATGCTACTATCAACAAGTTCCTACAAGGGAATTTTCCGTCGAAAGACAGAAGAAAGCATGCTACAACAGCAAGGATCTTATCGATCGACGGGCGGGCCGACGCACACGCGTCAACCCGAAACCTTGAAGATTGATATATCAAGGTACAAGGGAACCGATGAAGATTTCCTTTCGAGATGGTTCGTGGAGTTAGACGACGCCATCAAGGCACGTCACATCGAGGGTGACGAGATGCAAGTCACCTCCGCCCTGTCCAATTTGACAGGACGAGCGAAGACTTGGGCATTAGGGCTCAAGTTTCACGACCCAAACTTGCTTGATTTGTTAGAGATCTTGAAGTCTCGTCTCAAAGAGACGTTTGAGCCGCCGAGAGCCGAGTCCAGAGCACGCTCTGCACTCTTGAGTTCAAGCAAGGTAATCGTGACGTGGACGCATACGCACAACACCTGCGCTACCTTGCGAGTAGCGTTACGGAAAATCCTGTTGATGAGCACACGTATATCAACGTGTTCATCTACAGCCTTGTAAATGGACCGGTGAAGAACTACATGTTCCGGGAGGACTTCCATACGCTGGAAAGGCGATAGCGTATGCGGAACAAGAATAATTTAGCCTGAGACAGTCTCAGGCTAACTTGTTGAAATATCGTCCAACGAGACGACAGGGAACAGGAGGTCCCGAATCAATGGAACTCTGTTGCATCGAGAGCGAGAACTCTCGCTCTCTGAGTCACAAGCGAACGGCAAGATGCCATCGCTGTCAGAAGATTGGAAACTAAGCTCATGAGTGTAGTGTCCCAAGCACCGCAACAAGTCCAAAGACAGAACGTGATGACCGCCGTTGGCCAAGGAATGGTCCAAGGCGCGGGTCCGACCATGTCGCTGAACCGTGACAGCAAGTCGGACCGCCAAAAAACGGTCAGGGTCAGTAGGGGCGGAGCACCCTGCTTATCCAGCAACTTCAAGAGAATTTGCAGGACTCTCGACGAAGATTGCTCCCAACACACAGTCTATGTGTGTTACTTTGCCCCTAGTGATGAGGAGTCTCTCATCACTTTGAAGATCGAAGTGACAAGTGGAATGTCATTTCGCGCCCTAGTTGACTGTGGGGCGTCGGACAGTTTTATTCGACGCCAGTCGCTACAGGATAGTAGGTTCAACTATGTTGTGCGAGAGTTCCCTCCAACGAGGATGACGGTGTGCCTTGCTACAGGCGCATCCGTAACAGTGAACAAACGTGTAGTGGGAATCCACTAAACGCTGGTAGGAAAGAAGTATGATGATGACGTTATCGTACTGGATGTGGATGACGAATTCGATGTCATCCTCGGTCTGCCATGGCTTAGAAAATACCAGCCATGGTTCAGCTGGCAGCATCGATCCGTGAAGATGTTCTGCCGTTTGTTCATCAGATGACCATCTGATGAACACCTTAAAGCATCCACAAGCGTGTGGATGTGCTACGAGTGAGTGCGATGGCCTCACTTGTGGTACGGTCGTTAGTACTACTGCACAAGATCACAGTGCTGAAGGCCACTACACTGTGGAACCAGCTTCCGGCACCTGTGTAGAGACACAGGCTGCGCCGAAGGTTCACCACTCGAAGAGATCGAGTGGACTGGAACACGGATGCACACCAAGAAAGGTGCATCCAAGAAGATAAATTGGTGTTGTTCAGGATGAACAACACGTTGGAGCGAGGTCGACTATAAGAGAGTTGATCGTAGAGCAAGCCCGATCGACTGAAAGAGAGTCGATCGTAGAGCAAGCCCGATCGACTGAAAGAGAGTCGATCGTAGAGCAAGCCCGATCGACTGGAAGAGAGTCGATCGTAGAGCAAGCCCAATCGACTGAAAGAGAGTCGATCGAAGAGGACGTGACTGTGGTAGTACACCCACATTCAGTACACGTATTGGAAGCAAAATCCAGAGTTCCTGAGAGTGATAAATCCCGAGAGAGTTATGTTGAGGGTGTTGATCCCCAACCACCTGCGGATGTGTTTTCCCAGGAAATCACCGAGTCAGTAAATGGCTTGGTGAATGACGGATCAAGTGTAGGCACTTATACACTTGATCTGGTTACACCTCCGAAGTCAGCTTCGGAGGTAATCAAGTTGCCAACGCCAGAATCTAAAAGATTCTTGCGAGATCTGCGTAGTGACAAGATCAAGCAGATCTGCTACTCGTCACAGAGGACGAGTACGTAGCCGATATTCGGTCGGAACAAGTTTTTGATGAGAACGAACGGGTTCTCAGCAGCTCATCAGTGGACGATAGTGTCCTCGATGAGAAGACCCGGCTTGATCGATACACGTCTCAATCTTGGGAGTTCTTTGAAGACAAATCCTTTGTATAAGGATTTGGTTGAATGCAGGGATGTTTTCCTTAATTCCCTGCCATGCGAGCTGCCCAAGGACAAAGGCACTCGGCATGAGATAGAACTAAAACCTGGTTCGAAATACTGTGTCATGAAGCAGTGGCTACTGCCTCGTGAACAGATCACGGCGATGGACATATTATTTGCCGATCGCTTAGCAGCTGGTCATGTGAGGGAATCAACATCCCCACACAGCTCTCCGAACATCTGTGTGCGAAAAGCCACAGGAGGGTGACGGATAGTGCACGCGTTCAACAAATTGAACGCTGCAACGGTACCGGCTCAGACGCCGATACCAAGGAAGGACGCCATCATAGATGGCATGGCAAAAAGTACCATCGTTTTGTCCATGGATCTGATGAATGGATTCTATCAGATCCTCTTGCGTGAACGGGACATCCCGTACACAGCAGTGAGCACCCCCAGTGGTATGCTCTGGGAGTGTCTAGAGATGCCACAGGGGCTAAGTAACGCCCCCGCAACGTTTAACAGATGTGTTACGAATCTGTTGCGATTGGTGCGCGATTTCGCACCGAGTTACTTCGACGGTGTCTTCGTCCATAGCCGGGCTATGGATGGGAAGACGGACGTGGAGGTTCATAGAATCCACGTCCGAAAGGTTCTTACACTTATGCGAGAGCATAAGTTGTTCGCGAACCTCAAGAAGTGTATCTTCGCAGCGAACGAAATACCACTTCCTGGCTGCATCGTGGGTAGAAACGGTCTACGCCCTGATCCGGAAAAGATCAAGGCGATTAGCGACTGGCCTTTGCCGGTTGACGTCAAGGGACTTCGAAAGTTCCTTGGCTTGGCGGCGTAATTGCACAAGTACTCGCGCAACTACGCCGAGATGACCGTACATCTCGCTCTTTTGTTAAAGAAAAACGAGAGGTGGTCATGGAGTGCTGAGTGTCAGCAGTTCTTTGAAGGTATCAAGAAAAGCTTGATACAATCGCCTGTGTTGGCGATTGCAGACCAGGACAGACCATTTCATGTTGTCTGTGATGCCAGCAATTTCGCAATCTGCTGCGACTTAATGCACTACGACTCAGACGGTGTTGAGCGCGTCGTCTGTTATCAATCGCGTTATCTGCAAGCAGCTATGCGTAATTACCCAGTACATGAAAAGGAGCTCCTTGCCATGAAATGTGCACTGGCTAAGTTTCGGGAATATCTCTTAGGAGATAGGCCCTGTATCGTTCATACCGACCTTGCGTCGTTACGCACGGCCGTAAACAGCCCACACCTCTTGCAACGAATGGAGAGGTGGCTGTCATTCTTCGCGGAGTACAACTCCTCCGTCGAGTATAAACCAGAGCGACTTGATGTCGTCGCTGATGCTCTTTCGCGTCGGCCCGATTTCGAGCCGATTGCTCAACCCGACAATAGGGGTGATCCCACTGTTGCACCACGACCAGTGAGTGTTCCGTCGTCGAATCTGCTCGACGACGTGCGGAGAGCGTACACAGAAAAAGAGTCTCTTCTGCAGTTGATGGATTAAATATCGAATGCATGCAGTCAAGCTTTAAAAAGCTTGTCGTCTCAATACCGCTCTTCAACCGAATGGTATTCGGTTCGTGATGGACTGCTGTACTATACAGCAGTCAACGGCGACACACCTCGTGTCATCGTTCCCGCTCATAATGATTTTCGATTGCGTATCATGTGTGAGTGTCACGATGCCCAGTCGTGACTTCTACTGGCCCCGCCAGAATGAGTTGCCGCACAAATACATTCGCGCTTGCGGAGTTTGTCAATGGGTGAAGCCTAGTCCTTCACCCCGCGCACCCTTGCAGCATCTACCGATTTCGGCATAGTGTTGGCAGTCCGTATAAATGAGTTTCTTCTTTGGATTTCCCAATGACGCTCACAAGAATACTGGTATTCTTGTGTTTGTTGATCGGTTTAGCAAGATGGTACATCTTGTTGCTGTAACGGAGTCAATCACAGCCCAGGGCTGTGCTCGTGTCTTCATCGATAATGTTTTCCGACTTACCCGTGAACTCGTGTCCGGTAGGGACCCCCGCTTCACAGCGGAGTTCTGGCAAACTGTATTCCGTTCATTTAGAACACGTTTGACGATGTCGACTTCTGACAACCCAGAAATAGATGGTCAGACGGAACGCATCATCCGCGTCCTCGAAGAGATACTTCGAGGGTATGTCCACTCGTTAACGAGTTGAAGATATTTCTTGCCGAAGGCAGAATTCGCCATCAACAACTCGGTGCATGCGTCGACAACGCATACACCATTCCTTGTGAATGGCCTACGCTATCCACGTTACCCGCCTTCTTAGACAACCCGTCGACAATGGTGTCGACGTAATGGATGCCGATGTCGATACGATAGATATTTCGATGATGATGATGATGACGATGCTGGTATTTTCAGCATCGCCAATGACTGCCAAAGTGAGGATGATGACACCCTCACTGATGAAGACAACATCCTATCAGCAGTGCACACGAAGCGCACTGCTGTTGGCAAGGATGAATCAGCAAGGGAATTTCTGCTGACTCGTGAAGCGGTTGTGCGCTTCGTTCAAGACTCTACTGAAGATGCACTATACAGGCAGAAAAGAAACGCAGACAATCATGAAGGAGCAAATGTTCTTTCATTTGATGAAGGAGACCTAGTTTTACTGTCTACAGTAAATCTAACGCAACGCGCAGTGACAAACGTGGGCAGCAGTAAATTACTGCCCAAGTACATCGGTCCATTTCGTGTGTTGCTCCGCGTGGGCAACGCATACACGATTAAACTGCCCGTAATTTGCATACGCATCCTACGTTTTACGGTGGACGTATCCGCCCGTACTATTAGTACGAGCCCGTTTCGAAATGCGAAGAACACCTCCGCGGTCAAGAGCCGAGACAACCTTCGATTGGTCCCGTTTCAACGAGCCAGTCTGGTCGACTAGCGAAGTGACCTGCTCACGCAGTTGAGCTATGTCTTGACGAGCTGCAGCCAGCTCGTCACGAAGAGAACGAGCTGAGCGTTCGTTTTCAAGTTGTGCGAACGCAATCGCGGCACGATCGTCCGAGAGATCGTGTGCTAAGTAAACTGTATCTAAACCTTACAAGATCCTCAAGGTCATAACGGCGAGCCCGTTCATGAGCCAGGTCATCTTGCAACTGTTCCGTTACACGGTTCAGCTCCTGAACATCAAGCTGATCCGAACCTCGAGCCGGATTAGGAGTTTCCGCCGCCACTACATCCTTTGGTGTACTCTGGCGGGGGTCAACGCTTTCTAGTTGAGCGTATGCTAAACCACCGCGACATGAATGGCGTCCAGACGAGTTACCCCGTCCGCTGGCGTGGCTATCCACCGTCGTGGGACAGTTGGGAGCATCGTGCCCAGCTGATTGCTGATGTTCTGGGTCTCGTCGAACAGTATGACGAGACCCACCCGCTGCGTTCGAAGAAGGGCCGTCGGAAAACGACCTCCTCGAACGCGAGTACAGGGATTGCAAGGTGTCAATCCCTTCGGTCTTGGAAGAGATGCGCGCCCTCCAGTAGGGACCAGTAGGTAGGTAGGCCTCTTTAGGGGCACGGTTTGAGTTGTATAGGCAACCTGGACACGTACACCCCACAATAGACAGGGTTATCCTGCCCCTCTTGAAAGCCGGTGCAACTTGTATCGCGCCCCTACTGGGTTACGTTTCTCAAACCTGATGCGGACTGCATCAAGTTTACTGATCCAGGCCTCATGGCCAATGCACTCGATTTTATGGATGAGGGCATTCCATTCTTGCACTAAGGCCTTACCGTCTTGAATACGGCTACCATTGTACCACCGATGTAAAAAAAAGCATCGGTGAATAATTCTTCCTCAGCACAACTAGTTCCGTGCTGAAGTTGGGAGGGTTACTCCTTCTACAGTCGAATAACGAAATTCGATCCCGTTAGGTAGTCATGTCGGCCAACCGGTCCAACTCTTTGTATGAAGGCATCCAAGGAACTCCAATTAAGGAGCGTGGCGCAGGACATTTCGGTCCCTGGCCTCTTGATTGGTGTCAGCACGATCACTGACACCAGTGACACTTCGATCCTTCGAGTTACTTCGCTCGTGGTGATGATAGGTGTATCACCACCATCACCACGCGTCCTATCGCTGGATGGACTCGCGTGAGGCGGAGATTCTTCGGAACAATCGCTCGATCCAAAGTTCTCAAGCGTGATGCCGCCACGTTTACCAGAGACAGTCAACCTGGCTCTTGCAGTGTCCGCCTCGGGTGATACGGAGGCTTGAGGTGTCGCCTTCGAGTCGGATACATCATGCGACTCGCCGGAATAGATGAGTTCTATTTCAGACTCATCTCGATTACGACTCGTAATATCCGATGCAGACGCAGCGGATGTACCTGTCGCACGTGGTGGCTCACCACGTGCACTGTTCACAGCAGCAGGCGGCAAATCACCTGCGGCTGAGGTGTGGTAAGTACTCTCTCCGGCTGCACGCATGCGTGCAGTCGCCTTCTTGCTGCTGCAGCAACTCGCATGGATTTCGAAACCATGCGTTGGGTTGGCAAATGAAAGGAATATAAACAACAAGTGCTCCTTTTCCCAGAGTGATCCAACGATGGTCACCCTGTTCCAATCAATTCGATTCAATCAACGGGTGATTGATGGTAAAGGGGGGTGATGTAACGGGGTAGGCCGTTACATGATATTGACACCAAACGGTGTCAATAGGGATATTGTCGAACATGACAATATTCTATCAACATTGTCTGAGATCGATAATATTGAAGGCATTTTATCCTCCTTTGATATTATTCAAGCGCTGCTCCAAGATTGGTGTATATAAGATGTATAGACCATAGATTGCCACCAATCGCTGCTAAACGCGCACAATGAGTGGTGAGCAGGTTGTCGTCATACGACGACATAGTTTAATATAGTTAGATAAAGATTAAAGTCATATTGATAGCTTAACTATATTAAATACAGTTCTCTTGTTACCCTTTACTTAAACGAGTTGTTTAAATATATTAGCTTCCTCTGCACGTACTAGTGTACGTGAAGTTTCGTGGCACCCCAAGCAAATGGTGCCCTGTTACAGAAACAGTTTTCGAAAGCGGGTCATTGGAAGGGAGGGGGTGCTACTCGTTCCCACATGCCACAACGTCTTAGGTCTTATTTGCACCTAGGCCTTACCACGCAAATGTCTTCAACGAGATAGGAAAAGGTTATCCCTTCCCAGGAACTTTTCGCGTGACGAAAACGTGCCAAGCGGATTGCAAAATGATAAGTATTTGATAACGTCCTATCCTTTAAGCCCTTCAATCTGGCCTGGGCTATTTTCCTAATTTATGTTTTGACTGGCCAGGAGTATCTTGGTCTAGATCGAACGAGGTCTTCCGATGAGGGACCGTTGCCCACCGATGGAGGCCAGGTCCACCGGTAAGAAATGATGTCTAATTCTGAGTAAACCGATGTGGGACCACATCTCCGCCGATGCGGATCCGCAGCCGACCCCGAAAAGCTAAATTCCCCTTAGAGATCGGTTCTCCCGATGAGAAACCGTCGTCACTTTACTTCAGAATCGCTGTACTGGTACCCTGGCATCAATCTCTACCCCCTATCGCCCCCCTCGCAAATTTGGCTTGTTTTGGTCGTGACCTCATCCTGGTTCCTTTCTCCCCGATACCTTCGATTATCTGAACCTGTCGCAATAGGTGACCTGATAATAAAGTAAGACCTATTGTGATTATCGATCTATGTAGAAGGGAATATTTAGACCTCATTAGGTAAGTTCGTTTGAAATTAGCTCCCGAAATCACTAAACTAAGCGGGCATGAGTCCATAAAGTAATTGTGCCTCAATAGATCGGCGAATTAGGGCTACGTCGCATCAAATGGAGCTGCAGTGGAAGGTACAGACGCCGTTTCAGGTGAAGCATGGTCTATTTTATAGTGTAGATGTGTTCATAAATGAGAAGGATGACACGCGGATTTTCTTACCTCTTCTGCATCTTCGAGGGTCATAACAGGGTCCAAGTCGGGAACATCACGGGGCGCAATCGCAACTCTCGCTTCGACATGCAGCATTTATCGCATGCCAATATGTCTATAAATACTGCAGCCTTAACACTTCACAGCATGCTTCGTCGTGGGCCACATATATGGTAATGGTCCAGGCCGTCAAACAGGTCTACTTCGTCAGCAAGATGAAGTGCGTGAAAACGCTTCACCGTCATATAGATCTCGCGACAGACACACTGGTTTTCAGCGTGCAGCTTCCATAACCGAAATCATTATCGGCGACGTGTTCATCAGAAACGAGGTAATGCCGGATAACTCCCAAGAAGACGAAGTCAACGAGGTGGAGGCTGGCGCTGCGATGGATGTAGCCAAAAGTAAATCCAACATGCTGTTTTCGGGAAAACGGGATAACGCTGTTCATCGAAGGCTCGAGACAGACAAGTACGTGATGAAGATTAATAACTTCATGCGCTATGATATAGCCCTAGACCACCCGTCAGCAGAAAAATGATCGTCTGGAAGATGACCAGGGCGATCGAGGATGCCAAGCGTCGCAAAGAAACAGCGAAGCTTGCGAGGCGTCGTGATACTAATCGGAATGGAATTTCCCACTCGCTGGTAAAGGCAGCACCGATCACAGACATTCGTTCTTTGACATGCGCGTGCAATTATGTTACCGAGGCACACTCGTTAATTTGCACCTCGTCATCATCCTATTGTAACTGCCACACCTTCATTATAAACAATTTCTTTGGCTAGATATACTTCACATGGCACGCTAACCTGAACATCGTCTCTTAAGACGGGGGAACCATGACAGGCCGCCACTTAGGCTTTTTCACACGTCTTTTTGCTGCTGCCGAGTCTGACATGCTGCGCATCTGTTGCCCGCCGTAACATACTGATTAAGTGACCAAGCGATCAGCCGAGCGCATCAACGGTGGCATAGGGGCCAACTTTTCGTGTACAACTTCCGTCTCATCACGACGGCCCAGAACCCTCTGATCACCGCCATGAACGTCAAGTTACCAGGGAAATTCGTCGCTGGGTTCATCTAAACCGAATTCTTGCGTTTTACAATACGTAAGCTATCAGCCTACAAAGTAGGCAGTCTCAATTCCCGACGGATGTACGGTGGATCGAGACACGCCGTATCTTCTATCGGGCGATTCATTTCGATTTTTTCGCTCTTCAGAACAGGTCCCTGCTGATCGCAAAACACGAGCAGCACAGCCAGATCCATCTGACCGCGCTCGTCGGTATTTTCGGCGTCGAACCCCAAACCGGACCTGGCCGAAATCGAGGAGGATGCTGGGGATGCAAATGGGTACGTGGTGATTTGTCTTACCGAGTCCCGCGTGCTCCCGCCTGGACTGTACCGAGAACCAGGGATCCATACCACACATTGCATTGGGGGCCTATGAGACACTGACAATATTGTAATCTTCGAGTAGAGTTGATCCTGATAGATCGAGCTGGTCACCGGCCTCAAAGTTGTGAAGGCGAAGCGTGACCATTCCTGTATACCTCTCACCTAGGACGACCCGCCACTTTTCCCTCGCAACTCGTCGCTCGGTGCCCTAGAGAATTTATTTAAAACGTCTTCGAGACGCATTGCATATACATCGCCAAGTGATGGCCAGAAGAGATGGATGATGAAATTGAGGATGACTATCGTTTGGTATGCAATATGTACTCCGAGGATGACGTTCTGTGAGATGCAATCGACCAGTATGACCACTATATGTGCCTTAACGATGTCTGGGACATCTCCCCCGGTCGGTTAGCATTTCTCCTCTCATCCTGCGGTGGTCTGGTGAGTGCGTTCGCCGACAATACCTCGGTTCAGTTTGAAGGCGCCTCCTTGATACACATGTCGCTTGAGGGTAAATTATAAATGCAGTATTGTTCCCTTCTAGAGCTGTAATTGCACCAGCAACCGTCGAGTTATACAAATTTATAAACTAGTGGTGGCGAAATATAAAAATTAACTTGGTTAATGAAGTTTACATTTTTCCGTATCCTCGAAGCCTGGGATATTCGGCCACAGAGTACTCAGCACGACGTGTAATTTTCACCCTGCGTTTGTTACCGATCAATAAGTTTCATTACACTTTAAGCGCTGTTCACAGACACATTCACAACGGGTGGCAGCCCATGTCACGCTCAGTACGACGTGTAAGGTACATTCTAGCCTTACATACAGACATAGAGTGGGAGGTAAAATGCTACATCGAACTTAGCACGAACTTTAGTGTACGTCTCGCGTGTTTTTTGCCGACACAAAACGTGACAGGTCACATCACACTTAGTACGATAAGGCACACCTAGCTTTACTTATGGGAAACGTTAACCACCCCCCAGGGTTTCGTTAACCACCCCCCACCCCCTATATATTACCGTATTATACTCGATGGACGCGTTCCGATTGGTAGAATTGAATATACCAGGTTGAATACCAGCACTGGTCAATAAGAGAACTCGCTCGCGAGCCTCTTCGTTCAACGCGCGACCATTTGGATGTGCAGAGGAGTCATCAAATGCATCGTGATTGTGGTTCCCTCTAATGACTGTAACGTGCCAGCGCTCATCTATGCGTTGAATGACAGCTTCAAAACGGTACCCAGTGCTTCTACTAGCCCTTATGCGCTTGATCGTTCTCGTTTCTGGTACTTCGTTAACAGCAACTGGCTTGTATTAATTTTTCTGTGAACACCATAGAATAATACGTTTAATTGCGCCATCTTTCCTATTACCTACCTTCTTGGTACGCTTGATCGTAAGGACATAGCCTTGAGCTCTTGCATGTTCATTAAGTGCCTTTCGGGCTTCCTCTAGCGTATCGTATGTAGTTTCAGGAGGTGGTAGCAGAGCCATATGAGAATGACAGACTACGGTGTTTAAGCGCTAAAAGAAGTTATTCATTAATTGAAAAAAAATATCGTGTAAGCGATTACATGATGTAATTATTGTGTTTAAATTGGCTTTCAGTATTTAGCAATATGACATTTTATTTATAATCACTCAAAAATATGGAAGGTATATATATTACGGTAATATTTAGGGGGTGGGGGTGGTTAGCGAAACCCTGGGGGGTGGTTAACGTTTCCCTTTACTTTTAGACACAAGAGGTGTTAGCCATAATCGCACTTAGTGTGACGTGTAGTTTTCACCTTGTGTTGCTCATCCCGATAAGTTACAGACAACATAGAATTAGGACAATGTGTTAGGTATACCTGGCTTTATTCATATACGCAGGAGGTGACAGACTAAATCGCACTCAATCTGACATTTAAGGCACCCCTAGCCTTATTTACATACACAAACAGACTAACAGACAGACAGAAAATATACTTTGAACGATCAGCATTCAGCTTGCGCACAGTCACAAGTAGCTTTACCATACAGGCTCGCAACAATGCAGGTAGTGCTTGTCATCAAAACACTCGCACTTCTGTGACCAATGAAGTGCACGCCATCAAATTCATCAACTGTCAGCCACATAGTGTCTTGCGCTACACGTTGTTCGCATCTTTTCACACGTAAACGCTTTATCGCTGGATGTTCTTGCAACGCTGGTTAAGTAGCACCATCTTCGCTTGATACGGACTGAGTCGATCGTCACCTGTCCCCATGTACGACGTTGCCGTATTTTCAAGTGATTAAAAAGGATAGTCCCATCCAATAACGATCTGAAGGACAGTTAGTTATACTCTGCAATCGATTCGCGTTTGAAGTAACGGATGCAACACCTTGGTGACTTCTCCTTGCTATTTGTCTGCAATGCGGGTACGCACAGCATTCATTTAGCTGTGATCTAGCAGTAAGATCGAAGGCGTTATGTCGTCGCTTGATGGTGCAAATCGAGATGTTTTTATCGAGATGACGTGAACCCAATGCAAAATGGTAAGGTGAATGTTGCAGATAGTTGGAAGACCTGCGATTTGGCACAACGCTAACATTCAATTTAAACAAGCGACTAAATGTAGCGTTTATTTGGTCTTTAGCGCGGGACTAGCCAGAGTCGTGTTATTTCATTTGCGTAAGCTTTATTCCTGGTACTGCATGTCCATCGTAATTTCAGATGTCGAAGTTACTGACACTGGCCGCTCGGTACTTGGTCTTCAGAAATTTTGCATTTTTAGACCCCGAAGAAATTCGATATTGATGGCTTTGATCGCAACTTACCGCTCATTGTAATATTCGTAGAAATCAAAGGAGAAGAATGTTATCGACATAATTCTGATCATTCCATAATAAATGAGGGTTTGTCGGTGAAAAAGGCAAATTCGAGCTGGTCTGGTTTGCAGTGCAGGGCCGTGCGTTATGAAATGACAACACGTGTCAAATAGACATGCGACGCAATTCGACGTCACTGTTCGTTTCTAAACCCGGCAAAACCCACCATACAATAGTCCAGATCACAACTTCCATTTCTTACCCGCTTAAGAGCTACAACGACACAAATGCTGTTGTGAGGTCATTCCGCAGCACTGGCTTTTGGTGCGGCGGCGGCCACAACTAGCAATCCAGAAGGCAGTTTTGGCCCGATCCGTGAGTTCGTCATGATGTCGCACCCCATTGCTCGGTAGAAAAGATCCAAAGGTTAGGGCTTGAGGTAATCAAATATCCAGGCACGTGTCGTCGTCTGGTCGTAAACCTGGTCGAAAATTGTAGCATCACCAGATTCGGGCGCTAGATTTTATTGAGCCGTTGAGTCAGCTCCTAATTTTATTTAGAGTTAAAGCGACCAGATAGCCGGCGGCGAAAGTGGCCAGTCTAGGTCGATTACTGCTTTAAACGAGGTCAAATGAGCTCGGATACCGGCTTCTGTCCAAATCACCAACCATCCCAGCTCCATGTCTCATCTGCTACATTCTGCGTGCCATCCACCCGATCTCACTCGAATTGCTCGGTCAGAGTTCGTCATTTTACAGAAACCTACATTTAAGAAGAAAGTGAACCTCCGCGTTCTCCCTTACTGTAATGAGTCAAGGAAGTCCACTGATTTTGTCACCTTGCGTCAGGAAGAGAGCCGTTGCGCTCTTTGAGATACCGAAACTGGACACATTAGTCTCTCGCCAGCTGTATTTGGTCGAGCATCCGCTCAGCTTCACTCATACGCCAGGCCGTCAACATTTTCCATGTTTACGAAAGGATCGGCTCTCCCCCGAGATACATCCAAGGTATCGCAGTCGTCTTGTCGACAATACACCTGTCTTTACTATCGCCTAAACTTCTAGACAGCAAGCTGTGCCAGTAGATTCGAAGATAAACCTGTCTGCCTACTGCAAGGTGTACTGAGGTAAAGATTTAGTCATGTTTACAATGTCGTGCGACGGCGGATATCTGCCTGCGACTCGGGGTTCCGAATGCGCTCGAGCTTGTTCATATAGAGGATTTGCATCGAGACGTGGTAGCTGGTCAAATCGCAGTAGCGTTGGTCATTGGAAAGCGCTATGTCCTCGTGTGCTCGCGACCGACCAAAGCCTTCGGTACTAATCCCAACTCCTTGCTAGGCTGCTGAGTCAGTCGGTCCCATCCACCCCGAATTCTCAACAGTTGCGCCCGCTCTGTGTATCATCATTTAAGAAGCCAGCGAGCTACTCCCGACATTTTTCGTTGGTCTCCGCGTGTCGCTCGTCAAGTCGAGCTTCTCGTTCGTGCTTGTCACACAGTCTTAAAATTGCGTAGCAAGTAGGCCGTCCCACCATGCAGGACTTGCATAACCATCCGAGCTTTCCACTGATCCAAAATGCCGCCTCCTCGACTCGCGGCATTCACGAAGCCCAAGCGACGAAAGACGACGACAAGGTCGACGACAAGGTCTTGCGACGGCGTCTTCAGTACAAACTCCATCAACGTCGTCATCGAGCGAAACAGAAGGAAAAAGCGGCTACGTTGGACCTGGACGTGCAACAGTTGGCGGTCGAGGTTGAGACACTTAACCGTAGACGGCAGACACTGTTACTGGAGGACAATTGTTTTGCCTCAAGGGGCACGATCGGAGGTGTTCCGGCTCGAACGGCCATGGAATACTTTCGGCTGTTTCAGCTCGGGGCGTCGCTGCGGCGTATCGACCAGCAAGAGCATTTCTTGCGGGTCATCATGACAGCAGAGACAGAAGGGCCGGATTATGTAGGTGTGGACACGATCGTGACCCAGTGGCGCCGGTACTGCAACTTCTTTGCCTACACGAGGTACGAGCCACTATGCATTTGCATCACGACTGTTGGCGACCTTACGGTCGTTGAGGCCGACAGCATCTTCAGTGTCCGCGCTCGACGCGACGGCATCGTTGCGCTCTATCCGGCACTCAACGGCAACCCAGAGCTTACGCAACGACTGTCGGGGAACGTGATCAACATCCACGTCAAGTACTGCTTCACGTTCGACTCGGCTGGCTTTGTCACGTGGTTCGGTGCCGAGTGGGACCTCGTCGACGCTTTGCAGCGTACACTAGGCAGTCTCGATGACGTGACGACGCTGCTGTCGAATGCCAACATGTCTTCGTCCACGGGCAAGATTCTCATCGAGGACATGCCCGTGCAGGAGACGAAACCCCGCAGTGATCCTCGACACGACGTGGACTATCTGCTTTCGTAACCAGCGTCTGTATTTATGCCGTTTGTCATCGATGCATTGCAAGCATTGGATGGGGTTCCGACACGGGTGAGGATACCTAACGTCGAGCTTTATCTTCGATTGCCTCAATGTACTGCGAGGCTATTCTAGATAGTGAACAATACGAGGCTATTCTAGATAGTGAACACTAACGGCGGATCCGAAGCTTAATCTGAAACACTTGCAACAGCGTGACGTTGCGTAACGACTTGGTCTAGTGTATCGGTGGATATTTGTCGTCTCCTTCGCAGTCGATATCCGCGGCTCTTAGCAAAACGAAATCGTCGTTTAATGACCCTTCAACTAAGTCTTGATAATGAACCTTCTAGTTAAAGCAACAAAACACGCAGAGGTTTTCATTATTATTTGAACCATACGTTGGTGCGTTCTACGCGATCGTAATTGTGCCGCTGCTGAGCGCGAGGTTTCCACCTTTTGTAAGTCGGACGACACTTTCTAGTGAGCCCAGCACTCGTTGGAGCGTTTCCAAAAGCTGTAGCTTCACTATCAGCTTATCCACATGGCCCGTGCGATCTATGGTAAATGCAAAGGTACCAGCGACGGCTGTAGTGTCCGTGATGAGCGGTCGCACGACGTCCAGACTCACTTGTCCTGTCTTGATACTGGGGAAGAGCATGCCGATGGTGTGGTGATGCAAGCGGAGGTAGTGTATCACCTCGACCTCTATTGTCACGGATTGGTCTCCTGTAGTTTGCATTCTCCAGGCTCGTGGCTCAAGAATGAACAACGAAAAGCACCGATAGTAGAGACGCCACTGGTGTACAAAAGCATCGACACCGTGCAGTTCAGCCCCCACGACGTCGGGAGTCAAGATGGAGCGCAGAAAACGCTCTTGCAGCCCAGCCAAGGCTAGCGAGTACCCATAATGGTACACGCGAAAGAACTGCATAACGATGGCCTGTGCGTGCTTCTGAAGCGGCTTTTGCTGCACTTGCAAGTGTTGTCGGCGGTGAGCCTCTGCGTTGGCTACCACTAGCTTTCGGTGCTGCAGCTCTCGATACAGTTGCGCGATCTTATTCTTTAGAGCTTGCACGTCGTGTTCGATTGAATAAATCCGCTGTTCTCGTTTCGCACGGTGCTTGCGCTGGTAGAGGCGATCCTGTAGCCGTTTTTTCATCGCACGCATCGCGCGTTTCTCCTCTAGATTGTTGGTCATTAGCAACTGATCATTGGTCTGGGTGAGCGTGCATCGGAGCTCCTGATTGCAGTGGTCGACCGTTGCGACGACTGCCATAACTTGCGGTACAAAAGTAACCGACAGACACGTCTGCGATCACACGATGGCGTTTTCAGAAATGACTTCGTGTCATTAGTCTGTCGAAATCTGCTTAGGCTTCCAGGCATGCACGGATTCTGCGGCATTGTGACGGAGATTTTCCGCAGATTGTATTTGTGAACGATGCCACCGTCTATGCGTTATCGTGGCGGCAGTTGCAACGGTTGTGCCAGGTCGACGGCTGAACAGTTACACTCGTGCTTCGTTTGGAAGATAGATTGACTGGCCTCGCTATAGCCATCATGGATGGTCAAGCGTGGTGAGTTTTTCATCTTTTTGTTACACCCTCAGTCGTTGATTTCGAGTCAAGGCAAGAAGCGTACGGTTGCCACATCCATCGTCACATTTATGCCACAATGACAATGTCATGGGGACGCGCAGCCAACAGAGCTTTTGTACAACTTGAAAAATGTCCACCGAGCTCGCAACTGTGTTTATGGTCGGTGCCTATTGCGTGTTTTTGTTTGGTATGTGCTTGTGGGACGAAAGGTAGAAAGCGCCAGTCACGACACGGACGTGGGTAATCAATGCGTAGTCAGGAAGACTGCGGCTGACCTAGCTCTCCGTCAGGATTGAAGGTGAAACAAAGCTTATCAGGTTTTTATCGTGTTTACGTGGAAATGAGGTGGATCTTGAGAAACAGCTTGATGCACACAGTGTCGTAAGATGAACACTTAGTTAATACTACGCTTTCAACCGTTGAAGTGGGACGCGTCGCCATAGTTGTCGTGATAAGTACCACACACGTGAGTGAGAAGTGGTTCGAGTGTCTCAGGACGAATCGACTCAACGATTTATAAACGCAGGGAAAGAAGGAAAGTAGTTGTGTTGCTGCCGCAACCGTGCCGTAAGAATTTGTTTGTTACTACGCGCTTGCACGCAGAGGAGACAGCACAAAAGTCCAAGACGTGCAGCATCGAAAGTTAGCTTGTGTGGAGTGCTAATACATCACCCTGGTCTATGTATACCTTGTGATAATCTAGGCAGCGCCTTCACATGCAGACTCTTAGAAAAGGCGTGTCAACTCGATACTTCCCTAAAAATTGATTTGACAAGTACATAATCGTTGCTCTTTCTACACGGTAACGCTCCGGTGTGGCAATCGTTTTCGATGAAGGATCAAAAGCCTAGAATTTGTCGGAATAAACTAATCGAGACGGGATAGTCACTTATAGCCGATGCAGGACGGGTGCTAAGTGGGACGAGGCGGCTATATAGCCGTGGTGGCCATAACCACATAAATATGTGCATGACTTTAGAGCGAGATACACGATAGCACTTTGGTGGACATGGATGTTAGATACACGTGCTTGCCGTTTCCAGCAGTCATTACAGATATTGTTTTCATAGAAATCAATGATAGCAGCATGAAGTTGATACCTGAACAGCAACGAGATAAGACTAAATTGAATCCAGGCGTTGTGCTGACGTCGCGCAGCGGCAGACTTCGCAGAAAACCAATAATGCGACAATAAGTGGGAGACGACGTCCGTCACGGGGTGAACTCGTTTTATTTGACACTGAAACTGGAATGAATATTCATGTGAATATTACTGATCCAGGTATGTTTTACAGTTTTACGTTTGGCAAGCATTTCGACAGTAGTTACGACACTTTGCTCATTTTGTGGAGGTACAAACACGCCTCTTCAAATACGTACAACCTATTGACAGTACCCTTCTGCTTCATATTTCACATTCAAATATCACCGTACTTTACAAAAGCTAGAAGCGCATATGGCGGTATCGTCGTTAAACGGAAATCTCCTCGAATACAGTAGATTCCGCCTAAATTTTAGACCTTATCTGACAACCTGTCGAACCTGCTCAACACTCCAAGCCCCGACCACTTCCCATATCATAAATGATGAACCTCCTTCATCTGTTATCAGATATAATCTGTTCGTTTCCACAGCTTTTGCAAACCAGTTTACAATCAATAAAGCTGCTTCTGCTCGTGCTGGGTAGCTATGGATGCCCTTCTGCCATATCTGGTGAGTTACAAAGTCCCTGTGTTTTGTTTATCCGCTGCAGAGTCACCATGAAATGGCGCTCGGTATTTGCAGTGGCATCTAGAAAGTGTTGAGCAATATCTCGACCTCTATACTTTGGTAGCAGATATGGAAGAAAGTTCCTTTTTGCATCTTGTTCGTAGTCGCATAGCCGAATTGCCCTCAAAATTTTTTGTCCAGGTCCTGCAGGTATGCAATATCCTCTTCATTCAGATAGCTCAGATGGTTTCAGTTATTCATCCGGTTGTGAATGATGAAATTTCCGGTCTTGTGTTTCCACATCAATGATGACCTTCGCATCCAGAACATTTCTTTGGCCAGGGTGTCCGCTGCATTATCTTGCTTGCACAAACGAGCATTTTCAGTGGCATCTGGCGCTCAAATTGATCATCAGCAGACCTCATGGGTAGTATTGGTCTGTTTCCATCAGAACTCTGCATTGCAACACATCTAATTAATCTTGATCTGATGTTCGACGTAATGGTCTAGTCACATACAAGATCTATAGGAAATTGATCGCAGTCTTATGCATGGTACAGAAAGACCAGTATATTGGTAATTGTACTAAAAATGTAGCAGGTATAATGGCGTCTTTCTTCTATTTTGATACGTCATTGACCGTTGCGCAGCTTAGTTCATGCGATTTGTTGCCAGCAACATTATATAGACATCAGTAGGCAAACACTGTAAAAGCAAGCTTTAAAACTCCAACAAGCTCTAAAATCATAATTATGTGCACACGGTCTCCGCATTATTCAATTATTAAATTTAGACCATTTGATCAAACTTTAGCAGCTCTGAAAGCGTAAATGACGTGCGATGCTCAAAACATCGTTCAAAAAAGTTATTCGAAATTTTGTAGTTTCCGAACTCAAAAACCAAAAAGTAAAGTTTACTGGGTCCTTAGCTGACGTCCACCCGCTACTATAAGCGTGCTGTTTTGTAGACTGGATCATTCGACTGATTTTTATGTTGACGAAATCTTTACATGAACAGATGCTATACGTCTCGAACCGGCAGTTGCCCGAGAGCATGTCGCGACGACGTATTATAAAGTCTAGCACCAGGCCTACTCATGCGCTACATGCCGAAGGATCTTATGTTTATCCAAGGTAAACTCATGCATGAAGTCCGTGCCACCTAACCAGCCACTCGTTCTTTGTGTTGTCAAAACTTGCATAACTAAGACTTCTTCAACGTCTAGCTCACTGCCGATTTCATTATCTAACATTACCGGCACTGCTTTTCGAACCGGGCGACCGCTGAATCTTGTCGTGTATGGAAAGAAATGATGTAACAATTCAATGTTAAAACATGGGTGCAGCTTGCGGAGATTTTGAGGCAGTACAAGTTTGGCCACATTGCCGGTGATCGTGGTTTCAATCTCAAATGTTTAAATCTTCTTCACCAACAGCTTATTTTTGTTTGTTCAAATTCCCATATTGCGGTGACGTAGCTTGTGTTGTTTTGTAATTAGCATGACCATGTCTCCAGTTTGAATGTCACGCTACGCCACTTCTTATTGTAGCAGTCTTTCTGTTTTTCTTGCGCCTTGGCCAAGTTGATACGCGCAAGCTGTATAATCTTTTGTCTCCTGTCTGCAAAAGCTCTCACGTACTCTGCTACCGAAAGCTCCCTTCCTGTGACACTGAAGCTTCCAAATATAGCATTGCCACCATGTGTCAATCTCAAAAGATGACAGTTGCTCACTCGAGTTGCATGGTTGATCTCTATATTCCCTAGATGTATCGACTATTCGTCGCCATGGTACACCACCATTCAGCGCGGGTTGTCTTCCAAATGCAATTGCGTCAATCGTTTTGGACGTCAGCTTGCGCGCGGTGAGCTGTCATTATTTGAAGCTTAGCACCTATTATGGCCATTAGAGACTTCCAAAAGCTCGACGTGAACTTTGGATCACGATTACTGATGATGATCACGATTACTGATGATGATGACCTTGGAAGTCCGTGATGGATCACAACGACGTCAAAAAAGCATTTTGCGACTCTTAGCGCATCCGTTTTTGTGTGTTTAGGTACATGTTTCAGTCGCTTTGACGGCATGTCAACCACGGCCATTATAGCATCGTATCCTCTCGACACCGGTAGACATTTTACGATTACACTGAACCATTTCCCAGCACTATTCTAGAACTCAAATCAGCATGAGAATACCATTTTTCTTTTAAGTGCTCGTCTTTCATCGTGTATGTACTGCAGCTTTGTACTTACTCTCGTACCTTTACTATTCCAAGCCGGGCCAGAAGTATCATTGCAACACCTTTAGTTGCGTGCGACGAACCCCGAGATGAGCTGCAATGTTTCCATCGTTATGCTCCCGTAGTGTGGCAGCATACCATCATCTGCCGGTACGCACAGCCTCTTGACTGCCTTATAGTATTTAGATATTGCAATTCATCATCTGTGTAACTTGTCGTGATTTGTGCAAAGTGCCTCTATGAATTCTTTTCGCGGTAGTTGTAGTAGCCTCAAAGAAATGATTTCTTCGATTCCAATGATAGTTGGATGCTTGCGATGTGATACTTTATGTGCTGGACTTGATCTTTACTCTTTCACTGCTGCCTCTGAGGCACACCAATCTGATGAACTGATTACACCCCCTTAGGGTCCCGCAAATTGAGGAGAAGGTCCTTATACCGTATCAGTAGAAAGCATAGGACGGCCAGATGAAGTCGAAGACGTCGAAGATGGGCGTCGCGGTGATCACACAATGGGGCGCAGTCAAAAACAGGATGAATTTGATTTCTGTATCTCGTACCAGTAGGACAGTTGACGATTGGGCGTTACAATGCATCTGCGACAACGTTAGAATTGCTCGTGATGCGATGTAGCGCGAAACTATACTGAGATACAAAGGTCAGCTTACGCGCCATTTGAGGCGTGACATTTAGTTGCTGAAATGCCTAGATGCAGGCATTGTAGTC